CCAAGAGAGGAAGTATCAATAGCTTAACCTTGGAGAAAATGGGAATCATGAAAAAGTCAGTCCACACAGGTGGTGACGCAATTTGAATCTTAAATGACAGAAGTTATAATATGGAAAAGATGGGGAAGGGTACATTTAACAAACCTTCATGATGGATAACAACTTAAAATCGGCAGGGGGGATTGTTTATTTGGAGCAGATATAGGGACAAATGAATTAATATATTGTTGCTGATTTTTATTAATAGAAAATTTGTAAATAATGCAGGAGTTTATGTAGATTAGACCTTTTTTCTAGCATTCTCAGACCTAACATCCCCAGGCACCTGGGGGGAAGATGAAGAAAGTCATTTTAACACATATAAGTATATTCTTGGAGAAAGACCTAGATTTAAGATACATCAATTTGTTGAGCAAAATGAAAATAATGAGAGCCAGGCCAGAAGTATGTTAAACACAAGGCTTTTTGGAACATGTACTAGACTTTTTTTAGGTTTGAACCTTAAAACGTCTTAGTTTTAATACTGAGGAGTGTTTCGTCAGCATCTTGAGATGACTTACAGGTACAGTTCCTTTTCTGTCACTTGCAGACTTGGCGTGGAACTAATTCAGGATCCTCTCAGCGAAAACAGCAATGTGATGTGGGAGTGGGGCAGCCGTGCTGGCCGGTGACAGAGTGGCTGGGGACAGTGAGGACATTTGTTGTTCTGCGGTTACGGATATTTGTTTTCTCCGATTCCACAATTGCGATTATATGGTTTTCAGTGGAATGGCAGAAAAAAAACAGTGTCATCAACCTAGCTCTTTCTTAGCTTCATTCCCTACTATTTAAGCCAGAATTGATTTTTTTCCCCTTCATTTCTAGTGAGTTGACTGCCTTGAACAGCTTATGTCAATTATCAGCATTTTTTGCTTCTCAAGTTTTGGTTTAGTCACTAGGCTGAGAGATAGTGGGCTCATCTCAGAACCATTTCAACCTGAAAAGTGGGAGGGGGGCATGATTGTATTTGGCCGCAACTGTAAGTAGGAGGACACCAGCCCATCCGATTTCAAATACTGAATGGTTTAAATCAGTAGGAATAATCAACAGCATTGAGTATCTTTGGTGTGTTGTATTCTAATAAGGAATTCTTTGGTTCTTTAGTTTCTTTTATGAACTTATAACCACAAGATTTTTACTGTGAGATGTTGAATAAATGGAGGGCCTGGAGGGAATGCTACATCGTCATTCTTTATAAATCTAATTGAAGTGTTTCATGAAGCCCCAATAAAAATTGAGACTGTGCAAGTATGGATAACTAATAAACTTTTGAAAAACAGTAATAATAAGGGAGGCTTGTATTGCCAGAAATATTACAACGTACCTCAAAGCTAGAGTAATTAAAACTAGGGCATTATGAAAGAATAGAAAAATAGTATAATAAACAGATTGTAATTTTGAAATCAGAATGTGGTAAGTACAAGCCGTCCAATGGCTTTATACTTCTACCTCGATCAGTCGTTGGATGTGGATGTCGTCAAACAGGAGTGACCTTGTACAGGTGGCTCTCTGAACCCACGCACACCCTGAAGGCTGAAGTTACTCTGCTGGCTGGGGCAACCAGAGTTTTCTTAAAGGGACAAAAGAGTGGCTCATCTCTTCCCATTGCAACCTCCAAATTCACTTGTATCTTTATCCTACCCACTTGTAGGGTGTTGATTTTAACTGTCACAGCTCTTACCCTGGAGGAGACACTTGACAGAGGCTGGTGTCCCTCGGCGCTTTGTGGTGGGCAAGGACCAGAATGCTCAGAAGGACCTCTCCAGGGGTTCTGGTAAAGTTCTTCTCCCCCAGCAACAGGCTGTTCCTGAGCTGTGGACTGGTGTGTCACGAAGAGCCTTGGCTTTGGGAGGTGTGAAGGTGGAAATTATGTGTGTGCGTATGGTACTGTGGTGTATTATGTGTATATCGTGTTCACTGCTGTTCCAGGTGCTTAGTATATCCTTGTGTTGATGTTTAAAATTAGAGGGTTCTTGCTCATCTGGTTTGACTGCCTTTGGCAGGGTCAGCTGAGGGCTGAGGCGCTGTGAGAAGAGGGAAGATGCCTAAATTTACTCTCTCAGGTCCCAGGGGAGCCAGCTACCTCCCACCCCAGCCTTTTCCAGCACCCATCACAGTCCTCTCTGGGTTGTTTGTGCCTCCCCCGCCCCTATTTTTATATGTGTGTTGCTATTTTTGACTCACACAACTTGGGGGTGGCATCAGGGGCCATTCATGGATCTGCAAAGCCCCTCCATAGGCCTGGTCAAGAGCATGTGCCCCATTCTCCTGGGAAAGGAATCTGCTGGATTCTTCTGGGGGTGTTTTCCTTACCATAAAAGGGACATATAACAGGGACACCCCATTTCTCCCTTTGACCATTGCCATCTGTATGGGACACTTTAAATGGCAGTGACCCTCTTGAAACCAGGAGGGGAACCAGCCTAACAGAATAAAAGAGGAAGGTGGAACATTGTCCTTCGTGGCATTGCTGAACAACTAGACAAAACAGCCAAAGTCCTTGTCATCACAAAGCTTATTTCTAGTGGGAAGAGATGACAACAAACACATGCGTTACGAAAATATATAGTGTATCAGAGGGGAGTCGGTGTGACAGGGTAAAACAAAGCAAGGGAGGGGACAAAGATCACAGGAGGGAGCAGTGCTCACATTTTTTAAAGGGTGGTCAAGGAAACATCGGTTACCTGAGAAGGTAGCATTTGCTTAAAGACCTGACAGAGACAAGGGACATGGAAGAGCATTCCAAGCCGAGGGAACAGCAAGAGCAGAAGCTTTGAGTGCATTTGGAGAACATTCTGGCTTTAAAGAACTGCTAGGGGCCTCTGTGCCTAGAGCTGGGGAACACCAGGGGAGTGAGAGGGTGGACATGAGTTCAGAGAAACACTAGGTTTCTTCTGCCCAAGACTTTGGCTCATGCTGTCAGTGAGGTGGGACCCTTGGAGGCTTGTGAGGAGGGGAGGCACGTGACCTGACCCGGGTTAAAGGAGAGAGAGCCCGCAGTAGAGGCAACAAAGGTAAGTTAAGGGGAAAATGGCAGTGTTAGCTGAACCGGAACATGATTCATAGTAATCCAGGTGAAGTTCAAAATTTTATTTATCTTGAAAAACTTGCATCAGAAGCCATTTTGCTTATTCTAATGTGAACACAAAGAAAGAGCTTACTTGAGGGTTCTTATTAAATAACATTCTTTCCAAAAGGGTCTCTGATTTTTTTTTTTTTAACAGCATATCTATACCAGACTCTGTAATGTAAGTAAATTCACCAAATCCTGTGAGATTTAGAAGAATAAACTTGAGTCAGGGGTTGTGAAATGGTTTTTATTACTAGAGAGAAATTTTCCTAAATGCCAGTATATGGTGCAATATGGCAACATATTTGCTTTTCTCAAAATAAAGAGATAAATTTGTCTTATTTTATTCTTGATTAAAATTTTACATTTAATAAAAGATACCCCTCAGCCTCTTGATTTTTCCCCCCTTGTAAATTTGTGGCTCTAACAAAGGCAGGCTCTTTGCTTACTTGTGGTAAATTCTGTGAATCGTTTATAGTAAGACATGTTGGACCAGCTGTTGTGAAATGGCAGCTCTGTTATCTGTCTGGCTCCCTGTTACACGAACACATATAATAACTCCCTTATATTGCAATAGTCGGTATAACTTAAACACCAGATAAGGTATTTTCCATGTCAGTTATTATCCTCTCTGGTTTATTCATTGATTCCTACTTAGGGTCAGTACTTTTCATTGAGTCTAACTAAACACCATGTCTCTTGTGAACCACCAGCTCTTTAGTTTTAAATATAAACCCTTTTGTATCAAGAGTGGAAACCTCCTTTGTAGATTAACACAGCATACTCTGTGATGAGCCAACATAGACTGCGAATGGAGAAAAAGTTATTTTTGGAAGCTGGATTTTTAAATTAATTCTTTTGAATTCTCATCAAGTTCCAAATGTAAGCATTTGTGGCCCACCGGACTCCACTGAGTGATGTGAGAGTGGGGGCAGTTGGAGAGAGAAAGGGGAGACTTACTTTTGTGGATCGCCTCCTGGACGCCTGTAGATGGCACCTGAGCCTCACACCAAGCTGGGCAGTGTCACCTTCATTTTTGCAAGAGGATGCTGAACCTCATAGAGGATGGAGATGTGACAGACTCAAAGAGGATAATGTGACTTGCGCAAATTCATTTAGCAAATAAGTGTGTAAATGAAAGTGGTACCCATGTCTAGGTGGCTCACAGTCCATGCCATCTTCTCAGAGGGACTTACCAGTGAGAGCAGATGGAAACATTGTCGTTGCCTCAGATGAGTTGTGTCTCTCTGGGGTCTCATTCGTCAATCTGCTATTTCCATGGGCTCTGTTTGGACTTGAACAGTCTTGTGCAAAGTACAACCCCGAAGTCTTTCTTGTGTCACTTTGTAGCTCTATTACTGTTTTGTGTGGATTTTGTAAGTGTAGTGACGATTGATTATTAACCAAGCTCCTAACTTCCAATATGATCATACTGATTTTGTGCTCATTTTAATTAGATGGACTTTTGCTTTCAGATTTTACACTTGAAAATATTTTATAACATAAAGACATATTCCTGAGGTTATGAAGCATTAATTTGTCATGAAAATCACAAAAGAGTGATATATAAAGAGTATATAACATTATGATATGAATCATGTTTTACCACTTGTCTCTAAGGATCTAAAAGTAGCTGTTGATTTTTGGAAGGAGAACTGATTGAGGGACCTTCCGCCAACTTCGTGACAACACTGGAATTTTTATTGCTCAACTATTGTGTTGACTCTGTGTCATCTCTTAGATGGTCTCATGAGTGCTTACAATTATCCTGCTCTAAACTTTCTATCAAATTGTGGGGGGAAAAGAGTTTGAAAGTATAATGTCACCAAATGCTTTATTGCCATGTATTAATTTTCTTCCTCTCTCTCTCCACTTGTGTTTTTTCCCTTAGGAGAAAAATTCAAAGTGGAGACGAGGACCATTTCTGCTGACTTCACATCAGAAGATGTTTATGATAAAATTAAAGCAAACTTGGCAGGTCTTAAAATTGGTGTTTTAGGTTTGTATCTTCGCCACATTTATAGTTTTTTCTTGCATTATTGTTTGACTTTTACTATGACTGTACATTTTCTTTTTGGAGGTTTGGTGTTCAATTGATAAAAAGACTAGTGAGATGAAAATTGTCTTAATATTTATTATTAGGTGATATTAATCTATATGTACTTGAATCTTTGTGTTTTTAATTCTATTTTAATGGTTATTCTGCTTTTGGTTGTTTTCCCTGCCTGCTTTATTTCCAGTCTCTCATTCTCTGTATATATTTATAGTTGTAGCATAATAATCCTTTAAGGTGGAGGATGCTGATGCGTATTTACAGGTGAGAAATGAATGCTTAGAAAAGTGGTTCTCAGCCTTTTGTTCCTCATCACACCCTCCTCTACAGGAGCTTTTAAGGCATTTTTTCCCCCTGATCTTTTTCCATGAAATTTTAATACCACAGATACGCTGTATATCTCATTTAGGTATGTATATCTGTACTTGGTACATTAAAATAAAAAGATCTCATACTCCCTACCCCCAAACCAAATCCTTTCCCTTTTAGGGGAGATACCACCCCAGCTGAAGGCGAGGCTTAGAGAATTTAGGGACTTGCCTAAGGTCACATAAAGGCTGAATAGTGCAACTGGTATTCAGCCCTCTATATTCTTTTTCTAATCTAAGTCTACTGCTCCCTTTTGTTACACCTCGGCTACCTTGTTCTTAGTCACCAAAAACCAGCGATTTTCTTAGATATGGAAGTATTGTACCTTGTTATGAAAAAGATTCACCAGATTTGAAGGAAAGGGAAAGGGCTTGGAAAAGTTATCCAACATTGTTTGAGCCACTTCTAGGAAGAAACAGGGTATGTAGTTCCAAAAAACTTTCCTTCACTAAACCTCTTTATCTCTCTGCCTAAATTGGTATGAATCTGGTAATTGCCATTGTTTTCTCTATTGAGCTATAAAAGGAGGAAAAACAAAGAGGAAAGATTTAAAAAATGCCTTCTAACATTTCTTTAAGACTCACCTCCTTCAGTCATACTGTAAAAGAATGCTCTTTTATATAATTTCTTGATAAGCCAATTTAAAAACAAGTAAACATATATAGTCCTACATAGTACCCTCAGACCTGAGGTTAACCCTGGCTTAGACATGCCATCTTTTTCACCTCCTGCCTGGTCCATATCACACATCACCGTGCCCCCCCCCGCCCCCGCACACAGTGCTGCTCCCCCACTTACAGGAAAGCCAGTAGCAAAAATGCGAATGAAGACTCAGGACTAGTTTTTGCCTTGTGTTTACATGTTCTTTTTTAATACTTACAGTATTGCCTGGAGTCTTTCACAGTTCCTCTTTAGACCTTAGCTTAGATCAGGAATACCTGCAGCACCACTAATGTCTGTAAAATTCTTGGCTTTTTTAAACTTCCAGATCAGCAGCAGCTATAACTTGTTAGCCAGGATAGACAGTGTCATAGCCCAGCCTAACCCCTTTCCAGCAGGCCAGCCCTGGAGAGCGAAGGCTGGCTTCAGCAGAGACATGGATTGAGGAGCCCTGCTGATAGGAGGCTGACCTTCAGCTTGTGTTCTTGGAGGAAAAACTTCCTTTCAGGAGTAGTTTAGTTAATCACAATTGTTTTTAGCTTTATATATATTTTAGTTGCTTTTTACTGGGTCGCTTGAAACTGTAGATGCATAGGGAGAATGCCACTGAGGATGGAAAATAATTGGGCATTTGGTTGCTATAGACTGCAGGATTCTTTCCTGACTCAGTGTACAGAAAGTGTGAGTTTAGGCACACGAGCTAGATCTGTTAAGGATGAGAGCACAGGGCGCACGGTTTCCAAGCATGTTGCCCCCACTTCTAGAATTCTAGGACTTGTGTCAATACTTAAACAGTGATATTTAGACTAAGGACTGATATTTTCCAAGGCCACACCTGCTAATGTAACCATTGATTTTGTAGTCCAGCTCTTTAGTAAATTACAACCTGGGAGTTAGCAGGTCATTCATTCATTCATTCATTCATTCATTCATCAATGGACTGGAGATACAACACTGAATGAAAAAGCACATGATTTTATGCTTTTTGTAATATCCTAATAGGAAAGATAACATTTTAAAGTTATACCATAATTAAACAGTTCCGATTGAATACTTATTGAGATACATACACATGTACAACTTTAATTTCTAGTTGCTTACGGATTAATAATAAAAATAATTATAGGTAATATTGAATATTTACATAATTCTTTAAAGTTTAGAACAGCACTTTTGCATATATTATCTTATTAACTGGCTATCCGTTTGGTTTTCTTCCTACTCTACTACACCTATCTCCTTAATTATAAGCTTTGTATAATTATTATTGACAGTTAGCAGATATCTTATACTTATATCACGTTATAATTTTAGTTTGTCAAGATTTTCGAGGGAATTATTAAAATATTTTTATGAGCTAATTTTATCTTATTGCTAGGTCATACTTTAACTCGCAGTTCTTTCTCTAGTGTGGGTATAGTACTTGGGTGGGAGGATCTGATGTTTATATTTTCTTTTTCTTATGATTACCTGGGTCTGCACCCCCTTTAGCACCTTCTTCCCTCTCTCATCTGCATCCAGATCACACATACTCCCACCTCGTTCTAGTAAAGCGAAAATAATCTTATTTTCCTACCTCTTCTGCTTAATGTTAGCCTTCCCCTTATAACAGTCCCTAAAATAATACGTGTATGGGTTGATTTCTGGTAAGATCTAGCATTCCTGATTAAGTCACAGGAAGGCATTTTTTTTCCCTATGAAGTATTAACAAAACCTGTAATGATAAAAAGAAAAATAAATCACCAAGGTATATTGCATTTGTTTGAATAGCATTAGCCACCAAAGTATAGTCAGTGCTTAATAAAGAAAATTAATACTTTGTGAACTACCTAGGAAAATGCTAAAGCCCTTTGTCATGAGAGAAACATTAAGTTTTCAATAAGATAAGTGGAAAGAAAACAGCCATGAAGTGTGTGAATTTATACTGAAAGGTCACCTTAACTTGGTCAGACTCTAAATGCCTAAGTTTGAGAAGTTGGATTCTTAACTGTGTTATGTAAAATAAGTAAGCATCTGCTGTTTTCTCTCAGGTGAATGCCAAGAAGCACAGAGTGGAGAACGCTTAAAAAAACTTCAGCTCTTCAGACAAAATGACATTAGAATTGCTTTGAATAAGCAAACAATTGGTTAACAAAATGTGCTGACTGTAATGCTTACTTGGTTTCTCGGGAGACTTTCCTGTGTGCTCCACATTGGCTTGGAGGACTTCACACAGTGCGTCCCAGAGGGTGCAGTTCCCCGAGGCCAGAAGAGTGGGCTTGGATTCCAGGATGACACAGATAACACTTTTCTCAAATTCCACCACTGTAACTTTTCAACTTTTAAAAAGTGACATTCTGTATTCTAGAATTAAAACTAGAAGGATCCTCCTGGAAAAATATAGTAACTTAGTTTGAGATTCACTTAAAAAACAGAATCAACCCTAGCTTTATTCAAACTTTTAACACATCCTATCTTAGACCAAGAATTTTCATGCCAAAAGCCACCAAGGTCTTTTGCATGCTGTATTGTCATGGTTTACATAAGTCGTAGGAACAAGACAGTCAGTCGGCGCAGAAAGGGTGACTTGTGATGCTGTGCTGGCTTAGTGTATTCAGGCCTATTTATTACTGTTTAAAAACAAAAAGTAAATATGAAGCTCTAACTGGCCCTGTTAAGTGGTTCATGAATTAGGCAGCATCCCATCTAGCAACTAGAAGGGCAGTCTGAAGTGCTGTACAAAGTGGAAGTTTTTTTAGGAGGGAGTGTGGAGCAAGGTAGCTAATAACAAAAGAAAAGAAAGCTTTGTATCTCTGTTTATACTTAAGTTTTCCAAGCTTCTTAACAAAACCCAAGAGTAAATTAGCTTCTTGAGGAAAAGGACTGGTTAGCTTCCAAATGGCAAACTCCTAGGTAATTAATAGGGTTGGGATCCAGCGATGGCTTCCTTATAGTTCAGTCCCTAACGTATCAAAGGGAGACGAAATAGATGTAGGTCTAGGAGAGGGAGCCACCGCGATGCGGGAGCTGGGTTGAGGAAGGCTTTCCCAGGGTTGCTGGGAAGGAAGGAAGCTGGAACGGACCAGCAAGTCATGCAGCTTCCCAGGCTCAGTGGGTGAAGGAAGTTAAAAGTAGGGGAGTGTTGCTTCTCCTTTAGAAGGTTTAGAAATATATAAAGCTACAGATTATCTTCTTGCCATTCTTAGGAACTTGACTAATCAGAAATTAGTTTTAAATTGCTTCTTTTGAAATGTCAGTAGCTCTGAAAGAACCAATGACATCTTCATTTATATCTTATTGGGATTAGTACATTCAGTTTATTACCTGTCTACTTGCTGGATCAGTCAGCCTGAGGAAATGACTATTTTAGTTAGAGAAAGACACGGAGAAATCATTTTGAAATAGAAAAGGAGAGGCTCACTATAGGGGGAGGTGCTAAGGGGACGAAGAATAGAAGGGGAAAAAAAGTTAGTTAAAAGAGCACCGAAGACGAACTTCATACTTGCGGAAGTAGTCCACTTCTCCACCCTACCTGCTTTTGTTTTTTTCCTTCCTGTAGCCCAGATATAAAATGGCTCAGGCCCATGAAAGGGCAGAGGCTATTGGCCGAGTTACATAGGAAAGGGTTACAGAAGCATGCTACGATGATAGTTTCCTGAAATGGTGGAGCATCTCTATTATACTGAGATGTGATTTTTGTGCTTTCCAAGGGTTTAGGAAACTTCTAAAACTTGCCTTTTGTAATGTAATTAAATTCTGACCCTAACCACCCCGAGCTGGTGTGAGCTCCATCCGTTCAGGGCTTCAGGGGCACAGCCGCCAACAATACTGCTCTAACTTCAGGTGCTGGCTGCAAGTTTGGGGCTCCCCAGGCCACCTGCACTGCTGGCCCACTGACTACAAATTCGGGTTTGATATTTGCTGGAAATTTTTACAGA